GCTACACACACCAGCACTGAGAATTCTGATAAAGGTCAGATAAAGAGCTCAATTGGTGCTCAGTTTTAGCAACAGATAGGAGCCAGGGCTGCATGTATCAAAGATGGTTCCCACAATAATCAGACTCCCACCACAGTCAGAACCACAGGAGACTCACAGCACAGGAGTATCTTCACAGACTGGCGGGCTCCCTGCTTGTAGTCAGAGTCTGAGCCATGGACACTGTAAGGAGAAAACCACAGACCTTGCAGCTTCCTTCAGCTGCTTCCTGCCACAGGGTCTCTGTGTCCACTGTGTGGAAATCTCCTGAGTTCCATGTGGTAGTTCACGTCTTCCTGTACCTCACCTACCTTGTTAAAAAAAAAAAAATGTTCTTCAGCAAACTATTAATTTGAAAACAGGGTGGAGATGTAGCTCAGTTTACACAGTACTTGTCTCCCATGCCTGAAGCTCTGGTTTGATCCCCAGCACTGCATAAAGTCAGGTGTGGTGGTGCACAACTGTAATCCCAGCCCTTGGGGGGTGGAAATAGGAAGAGCATTGGTATGGTGATATTTTATTTGTATTAAAATATTATTTGTATGTTAATAAATAAAGTTGCCCGGGGGTCAGAGCTATTAGCAAGCCATAGGAAAGCAGGGCAGTGGTAGCGTACGCTTGTAATTCCAGCACTTGGTAGGCAGAGCTGGGTAAGTCTCTGTGTGTTCAGGGATACAGCCATTATTGGATACACATGCTTTTAATCTTAATACCAATCATGGAAAACCTGGAGGCCTATACAGACAGGCTGTGAGGAGGCGGTCATGTGGTTGGGTTTACAACCAATGAGAAGGCAGGACAGGAACTCTATATAAAGACTTTAACACAGGGGTAGCTCTGGTTCGGAGAGGTAGGACCACCGCAGGAGGAAGGGTAAGGTTTTAGCTCTTAGCTCTGACCTCTTGGCTTTCTTCTTTGCATTGGTTCTGTATTTATTATTTAATAAGAAGGTTGGATACATCTACACATTGGTTCAAGGCCAACCTCAGCTACCCGGCAAGTTTGAGGTCAGCTTGGACTATAGACTATAGGAGACCCTCTTTCTCAAAACAATAATAATTTAAATAAAAAAAAGCAAACACAATAAAACCAGCAATGACTCTAAAGGAGTACTTTTGCTCTTAAAATAGTAGCCAAATCCAGATTAAAAGACAGGATTGAGGTAGAAACCATCCATTCCCTGTAGCTAGAGTTTTCCTGCCTGGCCCACAGTCAGGACAAATCTCTGTCACCTGCCAGTCCCACAGCCGCTCAGACCCAACCAAGTAAACACAGAGACTTATATTGCTTACAAACCGTATGGGCGTGGCAGGCTTCTTGCTAACTGTTCTTATAGCTTAAATTAATCCATTTCTATTAATCTATACCCTGCCACGCAGCTCGTGGCTTACCGGCGTCTTCACATGCTGCTTGTCATCGTGGCAGCTGGCAGTGTCTCTTTCTGCCTTCCTGTTCTTTCTTTTCTCCTCTCTGTTAGTCCCGCCTATACTTCCTGCCTAGCCACTGGCCAATCAGTGTTTTATTTATTGACCAATCAGAGCAACACATTTGCCATACAGAACATCCCACAGCAATTCCCCACTTCCAAATGTGAGCAAGACAAGTGGCTTGTGTCAAACTTTAGTGCTAAAAGCAAAAAAATAAATAAATAAAAATAAAAAATAGCACCCCCACCGAGGATTTAAAACTACTCGGCAATTAAAATGAATGAAAGGTAGCCGGGCGGTGGTGGCGCACGCCTTTAACCCCAGCACTCGGGAGGCAGAGCCAGGCGGATCTCTGTGAGTTCGAGGCCAGCCTGGGCTACCAAGTGAGTCCCAGGAAAGGCGCAAAGCTACACAGAGAAACCCTGTCTCGAAAAACCAAAAAAAAAAAAAAAAGAATGAAAGGCTTAGAGCACCACATGGATTCATTTCAAAAATATAAGGCAGAGAAATCAAAACCACAAGATGGGGCAAGGGTTCATTAGAGCTGCTAGAACTTCCCTGACTTGAAAACATTGATCCACAGATGTAGAGCCAGATGCCCAGCCACTGAGTAACAGAAATGCATACCGGACACACCTTCACCATCATGCCCCCTCCCCACCAAAATCCCCAAACCCACCAAAGAGTAACAAATCCATCAAGAACAAATGTTTTCTTTTTTAAACACATGATGTTACATCAGACCGTTGTAATCCACAACTTGAGAGGTAGAGACTAACCTTGAGAGGGCACCTAACCTAAGGTGCCAATCCCAGACTGTAGCCTTGTCTTGCCCATCTCTCACCACATCCTTCTATCCATCAGGAGCTTTAGGTTGGTAACACCATATTTCAGAAACAAAATGGAAGACAGCTGTTCTCACAAGAAACCAACAACCCCCATCTTTGATTTGAAGATGTCTATAGGATTCCTTAAGACACACACACACACACACACACACACACACACACAAGGAATGACAGTCACCAGGATTGTGTGAGTAAGCCAAGGACAGTCTGATCACACAGAAACCTTCCTGAAGATGGCTCTCTGCACAGGCTGTCACACTACTTCCTGTGTCCACTTCTCCATACAGGACTTCTCATCCAAGTCCAGGGTATGCCATGGTAGGTCAAGAACTCTCAGTGTTCTTCAAACCTGCTGTCTGCAAACACAGCCCAGACAAAGTGCTAGAATGAAAAAACGGGCAACCTCAGAGCTCAGATAATGAGTCTACAGGAGGCTTAGGTGCAAGGTCATATCTGATGGAGTTTTTCTACCGAGCCCTTGATACCTCATTTATGGTAATGAAGATTCAGAAACGCCAGACACTGAATCCCCCTCCCCCCCCAACCTCTCTCTCTGCATGTGCGGTTATGTTTGAGATGAAATCTCACACTACAGCCCAAGTTGGCCCAGAACTTACTATGTAGACAAAGTCAGCCTCAAACTCACCACAATCCTCCTGCCTCAGCCTTCTGAGTGCTGGGATAACAAGCATGACCCATGAAGCTTTGAAAACAGTAGAAGTAGTAGTAGTTCTTCTAAAAGGTCTCCTATAGTCCAGGCTGGCTTCAAACTTACTTTGTAGCCAGAGATGACCCTAAACTTCTTTTTTATTTTCGATTATGTCTGTGTACCTACATGTGGGTGTGAGCGTCGGATCCCCTGGAGCAGTACAGATGGATGTGAACTTTCTGATACATGCTGCTGAGCCATCTCTTCAGCCCTGACCTTGATCTTCTGATCCTGTCTCCAGAAATACCCCACAGAGCACAGTGTTTCTAAAACAATGTTAGAGCTAGGGATACAGCTCAGTTTAGAGTGCATACCTAGCATGCACCATGCCCCAGACTGGGTCCCCAGCACTGCATATGATAATAGTAATAATAATAATAATAATAATAATAACAACAACTAACAATAGCAATAATATAAATAGGTATGGGGTGCAAGCCTGGAATCCTGAACTAGGAGGTTGGGAGATAGAGGTAGGATAAGAAGTACAAGGTCATCCATGGCCACAGAGCAAGTTTGAGGTCAGCCTGGACTACTTGAGACCCTGTCTCAAAGAAATTTTTTTTCATCAAAGTAATATTAGGACCAGACATGATGCTGCACACCTTTAATCCCAACACTCTGGAAGCAGAGGCACACTGATCTCTCTAAGTTCAAAGCCAGCCTGGTTTGTACAGTGAATTCCAGACCTGCTAGAGCTACAGAGACCCCGCCTCAAACAACAACAACAACAACAAAGCAAACAAACAAAAAGCTTAACAACAGGAGAGTTCTAAGGTTCGTGATCCAAATCTCAACAGCATTAGCGTCCCAAAAACACACGGAGCAGCAAAGCCATCCTGCAAGAACTCAGAAACTAATGTAGATGGAAGTCCTAGAGAATGAGCGGCGTTCTGACTGAGGTAGCATGCCATTAACTAGCATAAGTGCCAGCATTATTATTGTCCTCACATGCTCTATGAAAGACACATTTTATCTGTGTCCAAACACAGCAACTTTTCTGAGAACTGGAACATGAAATGGATTTAGTAATTCAGGCCTTACTGAATACTAAAAGTAAAAAGAAACAGGAACCTCTCTTTCTGAGAAAAAAAAAAAACAAATAAATCAAACAAAGGATCACTTCAGCACAGTTGTACATGCTGATTCTCCAGCACAATCACCCTAGTTCGGCTTTAGGGAGAGATAAAAACCTAAGCAACAGACCCAGAGGGACACCCACTGACCATGAGGGGTACCCACTGGCCTGAGGGAAACCCACTGGACATAAGGGACACCTGTGCTCGGTTTCCTTTGGATCTAATCATCCAGAGGAGTACTGGTAGTGTGTTCCAGGCCTGCCTATCTAGTCAATTACATGTAATTGCCTGAGTTCACCTGCAAAATACCCCCGGCCTGGGGCTTTAAGGTGGGATTCAAGGGCCAGATTCCAAATGGGGAGGCCACAAACCAAGGTGAAAAAGAAAGTGGTGGCCGGTGTTCTGGGCTGTCTTAGCTAGGCTGACTCTTGCTGTGATGAAATACCAGGACCAAAAGCAACTTGGGGAGGAAAGGGCTTATTTCACTCAGCTCCATATGACAGTTCCTCATCCAAAGCAGTGAGGGTACAAACCTGGAGCCGGGCGCTGAGGCAGAGGCCATGGAGGGGTGCTGCTTACTGACGTGCTCCCTGTGGCTTGCTTGGCCTGCTTTCTAACAGAACCCAGGACCACAGCCCAGGGATGGCCCCGCCCACCATGGGCTGGGCCCTCCCACATTGATCACTGATTAAGAAAACGCCCCACAGGCTTGCCTACAGCCCAGCCTTATGGAGACATTTTCTCAGCTGAGGCTCCCTCCTCTCTGATGACTCCAGCTTGTGTCCAGTTGATATAAAACTAGCCAGCGCATGATCCAGTAAAATTTGTCACTGAAACAAGAACCCTTGTTTGTTACAGGAAAAGGGGGAGAAGCAAGGGAAGAATAATTCAACACTCATTTAAAAATATAAAATTTATTCATAGTCAGTAAGACAGTTCACTTCCTGTATAGGGTCACTCCTGAGCTAACAGCCTCGAGAGCTCACAGCGTGATATATTGCTATCAAATATTGCTCATGCTATTGGACTCGGAGAATGCTTGTTTTCCCTTTAAAAAGGTTAAGGCTCAGTTTCCAAAAGATAATTAAACCACTTAGTTTTCTGCTTAAAAGGCTGGGAACGTTTGGGACTAAATCACTGCAGTGAGGTTGGTGGGGTGGGAGGCAAGCTCCTTCATACTGGAGATAGTGTGATTGTTTCTTTAAAGGCTCCTTCCCTTTGAAAAACATGTTTTGCTACAAAAAAAAAAAAAAAAAAAGACAAAGGAGATCTCTAGCATACAAACAAGAAAAACTAACGGTGCTTTTCCCACGGTGGCTGGATTAAATGTGTTGTGGGAACAAACATCACTCCTACATGGTTCTTAAATGAGTCTAACCAATCAACATCTCTCTCGTAAGACTCGAGGAAAAAATCATCTCCATTCCATTCCTTTCAGATCAGGTGACCACAAATTTGTCCTTTCCCCTAAAATTAACCCTCCATTTTTCTTTCAGCCTTAGAGCAGAATGTAACCATAGTTGTGGCCATAATGGGAACGTACTGTGGTGTGATCCCACCACTTACAACATTGATGCCAACAGCTAGGGTGGCGGCACATGCCTGGAATCCTAGTACTTGGGAAGTGGATCCAGGAATAGTGAAGAGTTCCCGGCCAGTCTTGGGTGAGTTTGAAGCCAGCCTAGGCTACATAAATAAGACCCTATCTCAAAAAAAATAAAAAATAAAAATAAAAATAAAAGAAATGAAAGGGAGAGGGAATCAATTTAGAGAGTGTGGAGCTGTTTTTGAGAATTACCTTGTTAACAAGCTCCAAACACACTCTAGAAGCACTGGTTTGCAGACAAAGATTCATTTAATCATCAATGACACGCCATTTTTACAAAAGGCAGAATCTGCTTCCACTCAAGAATCCGCCTTACAATTCATTGAACCAACACTATAACAAAATGTCAAAAAGGGGGCGGGGGCGGGGGGCACCTATGGGTTCTGCCTCTCGTGTGAAGAGGTAGAGAGACAATCAGCCGGTAGAAAAGATTAACAACAAACAAGCAAAAAAACAGTACAACAAACGATGTTACAAAATTTCCCGTCTGAAGGCCAGCTCTGGGAAGTCAGTTCATCCACGGCGCCTCAGTCCAGCTCCAGGTTGGGAGAGCCATTGCCCACAATCATCTTGCTGTAATTCTTCTGTTGTTCTTCCTTAAAGGTGTCCTTCACCTTTGCCCTCTTCAGACCTCCGTCCCTGCGAACAGAAAGGCACACATAGCAAAGATGCTCTGCCAGGGAAGAAATGGGGCCATGGTACCATGTGCCTTGTGATACCAGGACGCTTCACAGAAGCAGGAAGGGCAGGTTCTGGCCTCGCTCTACAAATGACCAAGTGTGTGTTCCTTTGAGCAATGGGCATGCTCTCTGAGCTTGGTAAAAACGGAGCGGAATACTGCCTGCGTGCCATTTCTGCCTAAATAGGCAGACGTTTTCTGGTGCTGGGAATTGAACCCGGGGCTTTGTGCATGCTAAGCAAGCGCTCTACCACTGAGCTACACCCCATTCAATATTTAAACAGAAACAAGGATTATTAAAGCCAAGAAGTTTCTTCAGATTCTTCCCTTGGAAAACCAAACATTGGTTTTTCATTGGCTGTGGCTTGCCGAGGAACCCCGTGAAAAGTTGTAAACACACACACATGAAATGATAAGAGTGTTATTCATTCATGGGTTATAAACACAGGCAATTTTCTTTAAAATAAATTATTTAATAATTATTTGAATCTAACCTTATGCTTAACAATTTTGTTTTTATTCAAAACGTATGTATACTTTTATACTCCAAAGCAGATTCAAGATAAAACAAACAACAGAACTGTAAGCTGCATTTGACCAGAAGTTGGCACAGTAGAAACAGCCATCCTCCACTCAAAGCTTTGAACTCTCTCCAGGGCTGTGAACCACAGACCTCTCTGTGTTATAAGGTAAGGGCTCTGAGTGTCTTTCCTTCTTTGGACGCAAGGAACTGCAAACTCTAAGGGCTGGAAGGAGACCGGGCTACCAGGGATTGCTCCTCCCCCATTACAATACTGTAGATTCTAACTCCTAGGGGGAGGGGGCTGAGAACTTGTTTACTTTCTATGCGGACTATTGAACTTTAGCCCAGTTAGGCAACTTCTAACAGTGCCGAATGATCATGGGTTACACAGTGAACTCAATGCCACCAGGACAGGACTTGACCTTCAGACAGACACCTGCCTGACGCCAGTGCAATGTTCTGAGAATGGACCACCGTCCACAGACTTTTTCAGAGGGTCGGGTATGGGAAGTTCCCATGAAATAAAACTGTAGGTTGTGGTCGGGTCCTAAGAATTGTACACACAAGCCTCTTCTCTCCAAATGAACCACCTCTAATTACCTGTAGCATTTACACGGATTTTGAGTAGTGAGAACTAAAGGAGGAGAGAGAAGAAGGACCTTTTTCTTTTTCTAAGGCCTGAACTAAACTGGACAGTAACACAGACGCACTGCTTCTGATGTTAATAATGCCTGTTCCTAAATCTCCTGGCATCGCACCCAGGGAACCACCCCAGCTATGATCTCTCGCCTCTAGAGGCTTCAAAGTTCTATCAAACTCCCCACTTCACGGCAGATCTTAGTTCTTTAGGAAGGCGTAGCCACATAATAGCCAGCTTAAGATCATACAGCAAAAAGCCAGGCGTGATGGTATACGTCTTTAGTTCTAGCACTCGGGAGGCTGAAGCAGGTAGATCTGAGTTTGAGGCCAGCCTGGTCTACAAAGTAACTTCTAGAACAGTCAGAGCTACATGGAGAAACCCTGTCTCAAAAAAACCAAAAAATTAAAATTAAAAATACCACCTCCCCCCCCCCCCAAAAAAAATCACAGCAGTTCTCATTCATCTGCAAAGAAATCAGTCTAGACGTGTTCACTCATACTCAGCAGGTGAGTGAAAATATACCTGGAAAGGCAGGAAGGCTTTTCCGTTTTGGAAAAACAGGCCAGGTAGTTAAAAGGAATATTGTTTATACAATGGCATATGATTCAGTAAAAGGAAATGGAAAAGTTCAAAGGATTTGTTTTGGTGTGTTTTGTTTCTGTGAGACAAGGTCTTACTCTGTTGCCAGGATGGCCTGAAATTCACTATTCAGCACAGGTAGGCCTGGAACTCATGGGAATCCTCCTGCCTCTGTCTCCTAATACTAGGACTAGAGGTAAAGATCATTGTTGACAGAATCTGACAGTGAGTCTACCCCGTGGCTGACTGCCTGTGCTTGCTCTCTCTGTCTCTCTCTCTCTGCTTGCTTCTCTCCCTGCCTCTGAGACCACAGAGCCAGCCACAAGCTTTTCGTGACAGCTTCAGACAGGGCTAGCATGCCGGGTAAGAGGAAGTGCTGGAAAGAGGTTTTAAGAAGAGAAAAAGAGGAAGACAGCTACACACATGAACTTGAAGAGTCACTAAGACACGTTTCGCCTCAGGCCTAGAGTTTTGTGATGTTACCCTGTTTGCCAGTTTAACATTTCCAGATTAGATTGCACGATGTAAAATGCTTATCTTAGCCTGCAGCTTGGAACAAATCAGCTGCTGTCAGTCAAGAATTCATACTTCCAGGGACTCATCTAGCATCGACTTTCACCTCCCATCAATTTCCAAAATTTGGCTAATCAGCATACTTCTAAATGACTTTTTTTCCTATAAAAATTAGTGTCAAAAAAGCAGTGTTTGCCAGAAATAGGGTGGGGTGGTATAAATTAACTGGTTTCAAGAGAGGTGAATGGGCAAAATATATTTTAGTGATATGCCCTACTATTGGATAAAGGAATATAAAATGCTAGCCAGCCCATCTTTAAAGATGTAGCCCCTAAATAATCCTGGGCCCCTATGCTGAGGATGTTCTTGGTTGCTATTAACACGGAAATCAAATCCTAGAACAACACTACAATTGCCTCAATTGAACTCATCATATAAAGTGTTTTGAAACATCCAAAAAGGTCATAGAGACTTCACTGAATTTGCTGAACTTGACACACAGACCATTTGATGACAGCCCACTCATACAAGGATCGACCTCCTACCACACAGTGGGTCTAGTTAACCCTCCCTGTTCACTGCTTTACTCCGAATATTTCTATCCTCACAATTTATAGATTGAAGCCAAACTCCCAGGGTGACAATATTTGACAATGAGGACTTTAGGGCATCATTAGGGTCAGGTGAGGTCAAAAGGATGGGGCCCTTAGAATGAGGTTAGCGCCCTCATAGCAACAGGTACTAGAGAACTTGCTCTCTATGAGCTTGAACAAAGAGAAGGTCATGCAAGAAATGGAGAAAGCGGCCTTCTGAAACACAGGGAAGAACCCTCGCCAGAAACGGGCTGTGCAGCATCCGAAGCTCAAACCTCTAGCCTTGAGAACTTAGAGAAAACAAATTCTGTGAAGACACCACTCTGTGGTATTGTGTTATGGCAGCCCAAGCTGACTAATGCACACCCCTACATTAACCCACCTCAGAAAAAAAAAGTGAAAGAAAGCTATAGTTATCCATCACCAAATGCTCCACTTCCTTTCTTCCAGTTCTTAAGTGTTCTGATACAGTTACAGTGAAACACAAACAGCCTGCCCCCAAACCACGCTCCCTTTCTCTCCCTTCTTCAGTAAAAGAACTCTCATTTTACCTAAGAACATGATCATCCAGAGCAAACACTGCATCGCCCAGTTTCCTTTGCAGCTAACTGCTGCCCCGAGACTTGCAGCACATAGATACAAGTTTAAGTTACGTGTGCAATTGCTAGCGTGTGCGCCTAGGGAGATGGGCGTGTCCCTTTTCAAAGGCCCCCAGCCGGCCATTTGCTGTGCACTCTTGGGCCATGAGTTAGAAGTGCCTGTTGAGGTTGGTATAGGAATAAAGGAGAAGCCGTTAGCCAGCCTGGACTCTGGTGCTTAAGTGGGAGAGTAAAGCCTTTACCCTAGTTAAGTCTTTGTTACGTACTTCTTGCTAAATCTATAGCTAACCAGTGCGGCTTTGTTGACTATACAGAGAGTGCTTCTGGGAGGACTCTTACCAGGGAAGTTCAGTCAGCCCCCCTTGGACAGCGATGGCCGATTTAACCCTGTTTGCAAACTGCACCGCATCTTCTCCTTCCTGGGTAAATGAAAAAGTTACACATCTTGAGTATGAAGTTTTCAAACACCTTAAAATGTCTCGTAATCATTTTATTTGTTTTTATAGAACTACATACATTACTAAGAAACAACCCTTTCACTACGAATGAAGAAAAGCATGATGGGAGGAATGGAAAGACCCAAGGCTTTAGGCAAAGGTTTTCTTGCCTTTATCTAATTAAATAAAGCATCAAAGACTGGAAGTTATCTCAGTAATACCTCTCTGGTCATGGGAGGCATGTACCACACATCGCAGACGATGGCCCAGCTGGTCATTATTCGAAGCAAGTAGCTCACCATGTTGTATTTACTACTGTTCCAGAATGCATCGCCAAACTGGGGGTTATACTGAGAAAAAAAGAAAGACAAGACATTCCAGCCATGAATTCCATGCCGGCTTCTCTCATCCAAGTCAGTGTTCTTTGGGTGGTAAGATAAATGAGCCTATCAGACCCCAAGAGAATTTACTTCACTTGAGAGAATTTTTCACAAGAACTAAGCCAGTAGAGCCCAGAGTGCTAACTATGAAAGCTGTTGATATGACTCCGCACTTAATTAGAAAGTCAATACAAGCAAGGATCAATCAGGTTTGCCCACCACTAGATCCTGAGTATTAATACAACCTCTGCTGCACAGTCATGTTGTCTGTCTGTCTGTCCATCTTCCTATATCTATGCATCTACCTATCTCTGTATCTAAGTGTCTCCTGCGGATGAATCATCTACCAGCTCTCCATGCATGTATCTATCACCTGTCTAGACAGAATGAGCACAAATGTACAATGTAAGAACCCAAAGAAGCTAAATACACAAGTGTTCTTCACTCTTGCACGTTTTAAATTTGTAACAATATCAAATAAAGTTAACAATCAAATGCTCCCCCTTTTAAAACTCAAACTTTACCTTTATTGCCACTGGATATATGGTCCCTCCAATTTCAAAGCTTCCCTTTTTAAACATCATGACTGAAGTATTGTTGATGCAGGTACCTGGAAGAGGAGATGTGGAAGTGAGTCGCTTTTTAAAAACAAATTTTAGAGGGAACTGCTCTAAGGATTATTACATTTGTTTATGTGGGTGCATGTGTTTGGAGGTCAGAACAACATGAGGGAGTCATGCCTCTTATACCGGTGGGTCCCGGAAACTGACCTCAGGCCATCAGGCTTACAGGCAAGCTCCCCTACCTACTAAATCATCTCGCTGGCCCACAAATTAATTTTCTATAATCTAAAACATCATCAAAACTGTAGATACCTTAGTGCCACTCCACAAGTCACCTTTCTTTAAAAATAATTTACAAGTAAGTTTGGAGCATATTTAACAGCAAACTTTCACTTTGCCACTAAAGGCTCAGCAGTAACCCCATCACAGCAATTGGCGATTTTAATACATTTAAAGAATAATACCTACAAAGTCATAGACCATGCTGCTTAATACCACTATGGAAAAATGGCTTAAAAATCAAATAAGTGCCAGGTGGTGGTGGTGCATACCTTTAATCCCAGCACTCAGGAGGCAGAGGCAGGTGGATCTCTGTGAGTTTGAAGCCAGCCTGGTCTATAGAGAGAGTTCTAGGACATCCAGAGCTGTTACACAGAGAAACCCTGTCATCAAAAAGCAGGAAAAGAAAAGGCACCCGTCCCTTCCTCTCGGAGTGCCAAACCTAGAGTGCTCCTCAGATGGTTGGCGGCCATCAGCCGTAGCTTGGCAGGCAGTCTCTTACCTTCAGGGAAGATTAATATGGGCAACTTTTTCCTATCAGCGACGTGCTCTTTCAATCTGTAAGGGGAAATAAAGGATCTGTGAGTCGATCTTAAGAAACAAAGAGACAGAGAGAGTTTTTGTTTGTCACATCCCACTAGCCGGAAGAAAAAGTCGTAAGAGAAGTAAGGGACAAAGAGAAAGTGATGAAGGGCAAGGGGATAAGGAGATCGGCACACTTTCATTTCCTCTGGAGTGAGTGGGTTTGGGTCACTTCAGCCTACTCTGTCTGTGACAGGTGACAGGGTCTCATTCGCTCAGGCTGGCCTTGAACTCACTACATAGCCACAAATGTTTACTCCTGACCTCCCGTTTCTACTCTCCAACTCCTAGGAGTACAGGTATGCACTACCAAGTCCAGCTCTTCTGGCTACTCTTAGATTTCTAGATAGCCAGGTGCCATTAGCACTCTGCCCTTCTTCTCTGTGTTGATAATTCCTTGTGTGAAAAAACATGGGAGTTCTGGTGGCGCACGCCTTTAATCCCAGCACTTGGGAGGCAGAGGCATGCAGATCTCAGTGAGTTCGAGGCCAGCCTGGTCCACAAGTGAGTTCCAGGACAGCCAGAGAAACTCTGTCTCAGAAAAAAAGAAAAAGAAAAGAAAAAAAAGGAATTCTGATCATGCTTGATCTGTCTGCATTATGGTCATTAGGTAGGAAACTCCTTTGATGAATCAGGATGATGACCTTTCCTATGAAATCAAACCCCTTAGCCAGGGATAGCAATCCCAGTGCTCAGGAGGATGAGGCAGGAGGCTAGCACAAGTACGTCTAGCCTAGGCTCCACAGAGAAGGAAAGGGTTTTCATGAGGAACACCTGCATGTGAGCATGGCCTTTTCAGGGAAAGCTTTTCCTCAGCTTTGTTCCTAGTGAGTTCATCTCTATGGAGCCCCAGAAAGGCACTCCCTCCCTCCCTTTCCATGAAGACCTGCTGTGGTTTGGATGTACTCCCTACAACCCTGTGTTCACGGTTCAGCTGCCGCCTGCGGCGCTAAGGAGTGACAGTGCCTTTAGGAGATGCGGTGCATGTTCTTGGTGGGAAGACTGAGACCCTGGTCCCTCCACTCTCTCTTGCTTCCCTGTTGCCATGAAGTGAACAGATCTCCTCTGCCATAAACTTGGAGTTTATTGTATAGTCACGAGCCCAAGCACAAGAGCCAAGGAACCACGCACAGCTTACCCCAAAACCAGGAGCCAAAATCAACCCTCCCCTACTAAGCTGATTGTGTCTTGTGATGGTAATAGAAAGGCACAGCTGTGGTTATCAGCTCTCTGGTAACTAGATTCGGAGTGGCAGTGGCCATTCAGCAAAAAGAAAAAAAATCATTTATTCAGCAAATAAATTATCGGTATTTTTCTCTAAGTTCTCAAGGTGGTAATTTTAAACTTTTAAAAGTTCAGTGATTGTACTCGAGTCACAGCAAAACAGACATTTGAGCTTTCCAGTCTGTTTATATGCAGCCACATATCCCCCTGACTACAGAACTATTACTTCAGTCCTATTGATGACTACAGAATAATAGAGTTTTGATGATTTTGTTTTCATTTTAAGTTTGTTTTTTGTTTGTTTGTTTTGTGTTTTGTTTTGTTTTGTTTTGCCCTTTGGCCAAATGATCCAAGTCAATCAGCTTCTCTGTTACTCCAATGAAGGCCAAGGAACTGCACTGTTTACCTCTTAGTAACCAGGTGTCGGTCCTTCATTTCTGAGCGCTCAAACCAGACATGTGGACAAGCCTTAACCATGGCTCTCTGAATGACCCCCATCAATCCACCATGAACCTGTCCAACCTAGAAGAATCAGGACAGACAGAAAAACATAAAGGTATAGCCAACGAAAAACTGCTAGGGGTCTTGTCAAGAGAGGGAATCCTATTCACTCAGAGAGAAGACTGGCTGCCTTTTACTAACAGATAAGTCTAAATCTAGTCAAAGTATCTGCAAAGCCCAATGCAAGCCAAAACGTGCTCTTCAGCAGCTAAAGTCTAGCTGGACACTAAAGTCACTTTGCTCCACTGGCTGTCCTAGAACTCTGAAAAACAGAGATGCCTCAACTTCATCAAGATCATGGAAATGCACATTAGAGCTACAGTGGACTGTGATTTCAAGTGCACCCGAATGTCCAGGATTTAGCCTTGATACCACACTCTGCTGTAAGGCTTTGGGGGAAGGAATGAGGACATTAACAGCTGTCAAGATTACATATTCAGTTACCCCCCATTTTAATCATTTCTCTTCTAGAAATTCTCCCTGAAAACACATCAGCAAAATGAAAATACATACTCAAAGATTATTAGCTATAGTATTGTTTATTACTACAAAATATTGAAAACTACCTAAATGTCTAAATAACCAATAGTGTCAATGAGGTGGTGGTGGGATGTGTGTGTGTGTGTGTGTGTGTGTGTGTGTGTGTGTGTGTGTGTGAGTGAATGTGTGTGTGTGAGTGTGTGTGTGAGTGTGACTGTGTGTGTGCATACACATGCATATACACAGTAGAATACTTTGCAGCTGAACAAAGGACAAGGTTGACCTACAGGACTAATAAGGAGTGATGATCTCCAGACAATGGTGTTAAATAACAAAGGCAAAAGAACAGAAAAGTGTGTCATCTTTGGGCAAGAGGAAAATGAAATGATACGTCTGCATTTTTTAAAAATGAAATGATACGTTTGCATTTTTTTAACCCTCAAGAAGAAATGAGAAGGGATAACCAAGCAACAACGTCAGGAACCTACAAAGAGACCAACGATATTCTGAGGTCTTCGGTTTCAAATGTATTACCATCAATTCTTTGTTGGCCAGAGCACAGGAGAAAGAGGGGGTGGTCTCAGAAACACAAAATCCTAGTTAAACAGTTGCTACGGTTTGAGCACATGCCCCGGAATCCATGGACTGGAAACTGAGTCCCCGTGCAACAGTGCTGGAGAATGGACTTAATGTGAGCAGTGTGGACCACAACAGCTCTGCTCAATGAACAGTTAGAGCCATCATCAAAAGGGCTCTTGCTGAGGCTGGAGAGATGGCTCAGCAGTTGAGAGCACTTGCTGCAGTTGCAGAGGACCTGGGTTTGGTTCCCAACACCCACACAACAGCTAACCACTGTCCAGTTACAGTGAACCCACTGCCTTTTCTGTCCTCCTAGGGAGTTGCATGCCTCTGATGCACAGATGTGCATACAGGCAAGACATTCACACATAAAATGAAAATAAATATCTCTACGAAGTGCGATGCTCTCGGGAGCGGACCTCCTTTTGTAATTCCAGGCCTTCTCACACGTGAAGACAGGACAATCAGATCTTCACTAGACATCTTGACTTTAGATCTTCAGCCTGCATGGTGAGCCAATAACTTCCATTCCCCACAAATTACCCCATCGGCAGTACTGTTAGGTCAGCACCAGATGGACCTGAGACAGGCAGGCCAGCCGCCTAGGTCTCTGCCTCCCCTACCTACAATGAAATCTCAGGCCTGACTTAACTGCATCACAGAGAAAATCAAATACAGTGGGTGGAACGTGCATGCCCACATACACAAAAGTGCATGTCCACACACACAAAATGCTGATGTGGGATGTCCAGGCCCGTTCGGGGGCTCTACTGAGGGCTGCATTGGGTGGGCTTTAGGGAGGGTACCTAAATATTGAGATTATATACAAAATTGTGTTTGTATGACACATATGTATGTTTTTTCCACTTTTATTTTTCAAAGTATATAACTATCAATTGATTCCCAATCTACCAAAAGATAAACAACCAATTCCTATCTCTTTTCCTGAAGATGACAAGATTCTTTAGGTTCAAGAAAAGTTCACTTAAATTAATGACGTATTAAAAAAGGGCTTGTCTAAGAGTTATCTATTCTCAGTATTTTATTTCACTTATTTATTTACTTTGGTAGGAAAATGAGTATGTGTGTCAGGGTCTCACTGTGCAACCCTGACTGGCCTGGAACTTGCCATGTAGTCCAAGCTGGTCTCAAACTTACAGCTATCCTCCTGCCTCTCTTCCTCCTGAGTGCTAGGATTATAGGAATATGCCTCCATGTCCAGGCTGTACTTTTTTCTGGTTTTTCGAGACAGCGTTTCTCTGTGTAGTTTTGGAGCCTGTCCTGGATCTCAAGCTAAAGACCAGGCTGGCCTTGAGCTCACAGAGATCCTGGGATTAAAGGCGTGTACCACTACCGCTCGGCCTCAGGTTGTACTTTTTTGTTTAGACTTTTTTCCCCTTTTCTGGCAGTGCTGGAGATAGATCGGGGCTTGACATGTGCTAGACAAGTATTCTACCACTGAGCCACGTCTGAAGCCACTGACTTAAGTAAACATGTAGCAGTAAGTGGGAATTTTTGCAAAGGCCTTGTTGATCACAGAACCCACGGGTAGTGAAAACCAGTGTACATGCTGGCACTCCCCACTCACTCACTCACAGCACACACAGTAATACACAGACCGGTAAGGCTTTCCCAGAAAAGCACCCTAGGCCACCAATATCAATCTGCAGAACTGACGGGTGAACCAAACCTGACTTCGGCCTCACAGCCTGACCCACCATCCATAACCCACAGCTGTGAAAAGAGGAGACAGCCCAGGACACTCATCTAGTATCTAGTCATCCTGTTCTCCACACCTCCTTAGGACACATTTAACCAGTGAGCAGAAGGGGAGCTTGAGTCAGCCTCCGGGATTCACCCAGAGGAAATGTCAAGACGACCTGTCGGAGCAACAGAAGATGTGGGGGGAACCCCAGAGTGGGGCTCCTCTTCAGGCCCAAGGAAGGGCACTGGGGACTTGGTTGTGCTGTGGACTCTGTGGTTAGGGCACTGGGGACTTGGTTGTGCTGTGGACTCCATGGTTAGGGTACTAGGGACTTGGCTGTGCTGTGGACTCCATGGTTACTGGATTTTCTGCTCTTTCCTTTGCTTTCTTTGGAGGCTGTGGTCAAAATCTGAGAACTGGACTAAGACACAAGTATTCTGCCTTCTTTGCCAGATCCTCATTAAAGAGACAGATTTTTTTTAACTGTACTTATCTCCCTGAAGAGAGAGCTAACTGGCTGACTGGGATCTGTAAAACTCTAAAGAGGATGGCTTTAATTTCATACAGTATAATTGAACACCGGCCGGCATGTTCAAATCAACTTTACAAAGTTCTGCCAAGGTGTTTTCCCACCTTCTCTGTTACAGCTGTTTCCCTGCACTAATTGTTCCTTGTGTAAATTACTGCAGAGCCTATGCTGCTAAGTCCCAGACAAATTCCCAATACGAAACCCACTTCCGAGTTGGCGATCCGGCAAACACACATACGTGAAATATCATTGAGTTGCTCTTACCATGGCATAACAGCCATCTGTTGTCAAGATTAAGACATCGATGGGCGATGTATGGTTGGCAACACAAATGCCTCCCTTCTGGGGTCTGTACTGCCTGCAATTAAAATAACCGTAAGTACTACACCTCAGAAAAAGCTCGATATTTTACAGAACAGCATGTAAAGACTTATCTTACTTAGGATTTTTTTTTAAAGTTTTTAGGTACACAGGTCCCATCTTTAAAACATTATCCCCGTGTAGTATGATGAGTTGTGTGAGGAACCATGACATTCTCTTTATAATTCATATTTTGCTTATTTAATCACAACTATTTCGATTAATGTTGATTGCTCTAAGTATAGTATGCTACTTTGTTGAGACAGGGTCTCTTGTAGCCTAGGCTGGCCTCAAACATCTGGTTCTCTTGCCTCAGCCTCCCAGATGCTAAGATTACTGTGTGGGCCACCACATTCAACCAACTTAAAATAATAACAAATTTTAAAAAAAAAATAACATTGAATTAAGAGAAAAGTATTTCAAAATCAATCACAATCATTTTAATTTAGTTGATTATTTTCCCTAGCTACTTGTATTCTCCGACTGTGGGTAAAGAGAACAGAATAAAGCATTTCATCTTAGGAACTAGGTAGAGAATTTTAGACATGGAGAGACTAAGTGTGGAAAACAGGCCTCTGCCTCAGCCATACCCCAGGACTGCCATCAGCAGCGTTGTGGGAGCCCACACAGGTTTCCTAGTGAGATCTGAGCTTGCTTTACCCAGCAGGGCTGCATAAGAGGATGATTGGACCACGGACCTGGGTACCAGGTGTTTGGAAGGGTCTACACTTGGCTGTATCAAAAAAGGTCTTTTGTCTCACCCCTTGGCATTGTTATAAAAAGCCTTTTTGAATAAAGTTCTGGGCCAGTGAATAAGGATCCAGGTCCTCTTGAAGCTATCCTGTGTTTCTGTCTTTCCTCTTGTCAACTAGGTCTCTCTTTCCATCTAGTATCTCTTATCCCTCTCTCCTCCTCATAGGAACCCTGTAAAAGGTAGGGGCTGGTCCCCCACACAGCATCTTCAAATTGAGCCCAGCTCAAAACCTGACTTTGAACCTGTACCACCCTTAGCAACCAGATCCAGAGTTCTCATCATTCATCTATCTTATCTATCCCATGGGATAGCAGTGTCCACCCCTCAGGAGTAACCTATGAGAAGTTCACCCCCACAGCACACCATAACTATCCATCTATGAACACTGCTCAGTGTTAATTTTTGTCTTCCTTCTGAAAACCCAAGCAATGATGAACACAGACGTTCCCAGGTCGGGGCAGCCACGGCAGACACTCACTTGTTATGATAATGAATGGTGCCGGACAAGGACCTAACGCAGATCCTACAGCAGGTCAGATGCACCAGTTCACTCAGCCAGCTTTTGAGGCTGAAAGAAAAAGAAACCGTTCTGTTATTTTGTTCTGGGTACTCATAAGAAACACAATGAAAGCTTCAATGTGTGGCTCACAGCAGCATCCTGTGTTCTGCTACAGCAGAGTGGTTCTTGCCAGCTCATCTATGCATTTGCGAGGCCCAACGTGTACCAGGAGAATTAGACACAATCCTAGCAGGAAGGAGCCCCCACCCCGCTAGATTCTAATAAAGTCCTGAAACACCAGCTGAGGTTTCTTTGGTCTAGACCTCCCAGGCTGCCAGTCAAAGACTCTGTTTTTCCTATGGTTCCCTCAGTCCACTTTCTTTCTTCCTTTCACTTCTCCTTTGAAAAAGCTACTTTCAATTTGAACAGAAAAAAAAAAATCAAAGACTATGAAGATGAATTCAGTAAGAATTCTCATAAATGGCTTGAGACCATAATATTAATGAGCCTACAAACTAGTCAGATTCTAGCTTTGTGGACACGGTGGGGTGGGGGTGGGGCGGGGGTGGAGTGGGGGGGATAGTCCTACATAGGGTGAGGCTGGATGGAGGGAGACACATCACCTGCTGTCCGGGAGCTGTCCAACCAGTGTAGTTCCTATGATCAGCAAACTGATCCCAATGAAAGCCAGAGTAACCCTGAAAAAGAAAAGAAGGCCACTGTAAACATCTCCCGGACAGTGGGGACACAGCCTAAAGAATTCACTACTGCAAACATCTGCCGGACAGTGGGGACACAGCCTAAAGAATTCACTACTGTAAACATCTGCCAGACAGTGGGGACACAGCCTAAAGAATTCACTACTGCAAACATCTGCCGGACAGTAGGGACACAGCCTAAAGAATTCACTACTGTAAACATCTGCCAGACAGTGGGGACACAGCCTAAAGAATTCACTACTGTAAACATCTGCTGGACAGTGGGGACACAGCCTAAAGAATTCACTACTGCATAGCAAGTTCAGGGCCATCCTGGGTTTCATGAGACCCTGTCTCAAAAGGCATCAAATAAGCAAACAAAAATTAAAAGTTCTAATATTGCCGGGTGGTGGTGGCACACACCTTTAATCCCAGCTCTTAGGAGGCAGAGGCAGGCTGATTTCAGTGAGTTCGAGGCCAGTCTAGTCTACAAAGCCAGTTCCAGGACAGCCAGGACTGTTACACAGAGAAATCTTGTCTTGAAAAAAGCCAACCCCCTCCCAAAAAAAAGCTCTAGTATTTCCTTCCCAAATGTCAACACATAGTTTAGTGCACCCCCAGAATACTTGAACCCCACTTTGGAAGCACTGAGTTAAGGTCCTAGCAATAGTATATATGCCATCCTGAATTTCTCTGTTTATCACAGCTGCAACAATTCCCAAAAGACAGTCTAAGCCAGTGTTAGGACACAAAGGAAAACACACACACACACACACACACACACACACACACCCGTGGAAACAGAACTTAGTGACTTGCATCTGTCGATACTTAAGCAATGCCTAAAACTTACAAGTAAACACATTGTCTCTTGTGCTAGATCTGAAGGAGGCCAGTATCACCCGCCTGGTCATGAAGTGAAGTTTCAATTCATATGTCAATGGTAGCTGGCTGGTAGCAACTCCTGGAAACTATGGTTATGTCCAAGAAAATGAAAAAGATGACCAACATTGTGGCTGGTACACAGGCCCGCTCCCTGCCATCACCATAAAGAGACATGGCCACACTGTCATCTCCCTGCTGGGTGTCATCTACTGTCTTGAGGTCACGTGCTGATGAGGCAGCATTCAAGCCTCAAATCAAAGGAGGATCCAGGTATGGGAATCTTTACTAAGAACTGAATGGCGCTGGGCGGTGGTGGCGCATGCCTTTAATCCCAGCACTCGGGAGGCAGAGGCAGGTGGATCTTTGTGAGTTCAAGGCCCGCTTGGTTTACAGAGTGAGTTCCAGGACAGGCGCAAAGCTACACAGAGAAACCCTGTCTTGAAAAACCAACAACAACAAAAACAAGAACTGAATGGCAGTGATAGAATTGGATGGAACAAGTACATACTACTGAATGGCTCTTCCAGTGCAGCAAGGGTCTCTGGGACTTGTTCTCTGCTACACACCTCTCAGTTCTACACACCAAAGAGAGGCTATTCCTGCAGGCAGCTCTTTTTTAGTTGCTGCTCTGGCACATATGAAGCTAACTATTTTGTGTGTGGAGGTGAGGGCATGTTCCTGTGTGGACATACACAGGTGGATGGAGATCAGAGCGCAGTCTCTCAGTCCATTGTTCAACCATCATCCACCTTGTTTTTAAGATGGGCCTGAAACTGGCCAAGTGGGTTAGAGTGGCTGGCCATGGAGCCCCAGAGACCCAACACTTCCCCAACACTGGGATCACACTCATAGGCCACCACACTCAGCTCATGTGAGGATGGAATCAGGTCCTCATGCTTGCCTGGCAAGCACTTTATTGACTGAACTACCTACCCATCCCCCTCTTGTTCTAACTTCTCTTTTGCCTCCATCCTCAAATTATTTACTACTATAAGAGGAAAGGAAATACACACACACATACACACACACACACACAAGGATGTGGGGGCGTTGAACGCACTCTTCATTTGGAAGAAAAAACTGTAAAAGGAGTGTACAGGTAACAGACACATAGCGGCAGGTCACACCTGGTGGCGTCTTCCAACCGGGAAGAGGTGGAATCCATTCCACATACTCATAAGCAGCCATCGCACACATAATGAAGAGGGAAGCTGGTGACATCACCCAACCAGGCAGTGACTTACCTCAGAGGGAGCAGAAAGCAATAACGTATTAGGACACCCAGCACCCACACCATCGTGAGCTTCGGACTGATGTACTGAAAGTTGACGTTGGTTCTTGTGAGGAGGTTCCATGATACGAGCTCCTCGGAGGAGAACCTCTGGGTCACTTCATCTTCCACAATGGCTTCCAAGCCCTTCTTGGAGAAATAAAACACATCAGAGAGCTCGAAGTCCCTTCCTCGAAGACCAGAGAGCCCTTTTTCCATGGGTGACTCATCTCTTTGGATGATACCTTAAAAGAAAGCATCGGGACATGAGAAAACGCCATAGGAGCGATGAGTGATTGCCTCAAGGGGCAATGTTAACTGCACAGAACACAGAAAACAAGCTTCAACGTGAGCGACGTGAAGATGTTAGAGCAGCAGTCATGGTGGGGAAAGGTGAGGCCACAGCATCTCCACAGAACGACCTCTACCCAGCAACTTCATAAAAATTACTTAATGAGAGGCTGGGGTGTATGTTCGGTGATAGAATGCCGGCCTAGTGTGTATAAGGCCCTGAGTTCAATCCTCAGTACTGCCAAAAATATTTCATAAGAAAACTACAGCCAGGCATGGTGGTACACACCTTTCACATAGGCACTCAGGAAGCAGAAGCAGACAGATCTCTATGAGTTTGAAGCTAGCCTGGTCTACATAGAGAATTCCAGGTCAGCCAGAGCTACATAGTGAGATCCTGTCTCAAAACAAAAGGAAACCACAGATATTTCAGAAAAATAAGCAAAGCGCAACTAGATTGATAGGAGCAACCCGTGTTAGTAAATAGGTAATTTCACGTCATGATAGAGCCTGGTGACTGAAATGGTACCCTCATATCCCCACTGTGTGAAGTGGAACAACCTGCAGCCGGTTGTAAAAGTGACTCACTAGGAAAACACTAAAAGAGTTCTGCTGAGGATTGGTAATCCTGCTCCTAAAATGTTCCCTAAGAGACACAGGGAAGACATTCCCTGCAGCACTTTACCCAGGGATACACAGCACCACGGTTAATATGGCTCCAGTATCAAGTGAAAAGAGACCAGATCTTAAACATAGCTAAGTTAGGAAATATATTTACGTAGAAAAACACCAAGTAGAAAACATGCTTCTCTTGGGGCAACAACATTAGATTTTCTTCTCCACTTAAAGAAAGTAATTCAAAGGATTTTCAAAGCCAAGTTTACCAGAATGGGATGTTTGCCAGAATGGGATGTTTCTTTCTTTTTCTTTTTAATGTTCTGAAGGAATAACAGCAGGTGCATGGGGTGTGGGGGAGTGTAGGGAGCCCAAGAAGTCCTGAGTGAACATGTAAGGAGTGGATGGAGTCCTGAGTCAATGTGTAAGGAGTGGATGGAGTCCTGGGTGGATGTGTAAGGAGTGGATGGAGTCCTGGGTGGATGTGTAAGGAGTGGATGGAGTCCTGAGTGGATGTGTCCTGCTGGCATGGGCACAGCCATGTCAAGGACACCAGTACCTCACACCCACGGATACTGGCAAAGCCTTCCTGGAGTGAGGCTCAGAGGATGACAAAGCTGTCCTCTAGCCCAGTGGTTCTCAACCCCTTTGGGAGGTCACAGATCAGACATCCTGCGTATCAGATATTTACATTACAATTCATAACAGTAGCAAAATTACAGTTGTGAAGTAGCAATGAAATAATTTTATGGTTGGCGGTCACCACAACATGAGGAACTGTGCTAAAGGGTCGCAGCGTTAGGAAAGTTGTGAACCACTGCTCCAGTCCAAGTGATTGGTCGGTATGTGTAAAAACTGGCAACCTAGCTCCCTCCCAGATGACTGCAACCTGAGACTGCCCACCTGCGGACACCTCCTACCGGGACCAGCTGACTCCTCCCTGGGTTGTTCAGAATGAGCGCCCTGAGGCGCTTGTTGTCAAGTAGGCTCACTCCATCAGAGCAAGCACAGCGAGCTTTCTGTACATTGGTCTGTGTGTCTGTCCTTTCTTCATGCCCTCACGACCCCCGTCATGTCAAGTCCCGTCTGTTCTGGGTTCCGGACACAGCGGGAGAGAAAGGAAAAGTGACTTGAAATTAAAAGTCAGGTTGTGTTTACAGCAGTCACCAGCTCCGTGGGGTGTGTGGCTTTTGTATAATGAAGAAGTTGGACATTTTTAGTTTCCTTACAGGACTACTAACACACACACACACACACACAGAGAGAGAGAGAGAGAGAGAGAGAGAGAGAGAGAGAGAGAGAGAGAGAGAGAGAGAGAGAGAGAGAGAGAGAGAATGTGTGTGTGGTTTTGCCTAATTGTTTTATCTAATAACTTGATTATAACTTATTATAACAATAAAAGAAGTTTATTATCAAAATAATTAGAACAATAAATTATTTTTTTAAGTTAAGCCAAATCTTTCTTGCTTTTTGTTAGTGCCAGTGGATGGTCCAAGGTTGTGTCCCTACCGAGTTACCCTCTTGCTCCACAGGCTCTGCAAAGCCTCTAAGGCAGAGCACTCTGTCCAAGTACTGGCCAATACTGAGCAGTGCAACAGTTTCAGTATTTAGCAACCTATATATTTCTTAAATATCTACCAGGGGAAAAAGCAAAGCTAGTCAATAAATCTCTGAATAAAATACACCAGGGACAGTCGATATACCTCCTAAAAAGATCCTTTCTGAGAAAGGCCAGAGATGAGAGAACGCAACTGTGGGTTGATTATGTCACCGAGCTAAGGGAGAAGAGTCTGCCTACAGGGCAGCTTGCCAGCCCCACCCACCTGATATGCAGGATTTTTTCTGCCCCCATCTAGTCTGTTCCCTGCAACTCCAATAAAATGTAATGCAGTTCTGTATTTTTAGTTAAGAGTCTTTCAAAAGTGTGTGGACAGTTGCAATACCACAAGATCAACAAAGAAGATGTCTAGCATATACTAAGACATACAAAAAGTCAGCAGGAAACATGAACTTCAAAGCTCAGTAAGAGCGGCTAAGAACACAGCAAGAGTAGCCTTTATGACTCAATACTCTGAAAAGACGTGCAGCTTCACAATAGCCCGAGAGACGTACGCTATGCCACAACAACACAGTCATATCAAGTGCTCTGGAAATGGGAACCAACAGGGATATAATTAGTAAAACTGTACTGGAAAGCAAGTCAGCACTGTGGAGCAGAATCAAACGTTCAGAGAGTATGACTCAGGAATTCCACTCAGAGATTATTATAAATTACCAAATACATAGAAAGGCTACAAAGATGTGTCATCCCACCCAGATTTACCACATTCACTTTGTTATTCTATGTATAAAAATAAGTTTTTTCAGCCGGGCGGTGGTGGTGCACGTCTTTAATCCCAGCACTTGGGAGGCAGAGCCAGGTGGATCTCTGTGAATTCAAGGCCAGCCTGGGCTACCAAATGAGTTCTAGGAAAGGCGCAAAGCTACACAGAGAAACCCTGTCTCGAAAAACAAAAAAAAAAAACAAAAAAAAAAAAAAAAAAAGTTTTTTCTGGCCCACTTAAAGTAATTGTGCACACCATGTTCTTTATCTCTCAACAGACATTTCCTCGGGATGCTTAACCAGAACAAAAGCATCAAAATCAAAGAGGCTGGCACTAATGCAATGCTGGTGCCTAATCTGTCTCATTCAACTTTTTCACTGTGAAAAAAATCCCACTAATATCCTTTAAACCAATTTTTTTCTGATCCAATATTCAAACCAAGTTCCTACATCACATTTACATGTCAAATCTTTTAGCTGCCTTAAATATACTAAGCTTCCAACATCTCAAGATATTGTTTTATTTACTTATTAAATAAAATTTACTTAAATAAATTATTAAATAAAATTTATTTAAATTACAATAAATTTATTTATTAAAAAGGGTGCTGAGCATAAATATGATAAAACCACAACAGGAAAATAAAAAATATCTGCTATCAACAGACACATAATATCTGAAGATGACTTCTACTATGAACTAGATGCTATGGGGAGGCACCATTCCAAACATGTCACTTTCCTCCTGAGATACAGTCACTATTGCAGGTCAAACTTATGCATCCAATTTGCCAAATTATAAACTTCTGACAGAAAAAGAAAACTAATGTAATCAATATACAGTGAAAATATGAGTCAGGCATCAAATTGGAGGTTAGAAAAGACGGATTGAGAAAAGAAAAGATTGGGCACTAAAAAGTGTCTACAAGGAGACCAAAATTTACCACACACACATCAAAGGAATACAAATACAATTTTTACACTATCATTAAAGAGATCAGGAGTGCCGGGCAGTGGTGGCGCACGCTTTTAATTAATCCCAGCACTCGGGAGGCAGAGCCAGGTGGATCTCTGTGAGTTCGAGGCCAGCCTGGGCTACAGACTGAGATCCAGGACAGGCTCCAAAACTACACAGAGAAATCGTCTCGAAAAACAAAAAAACAAAACAAAAACAAAAACAAAAAGAGCAGGAGTTGGTGGAGAGATGGCTCAGTGGTTAAGAACACCAGTTGCTCTATCAGAGGACCCAGGTTTCGTTCCCACAGGCAGCTTACAAACATCTATCTATAACTCCAGTTCCAGGGGATCTGACACACTCTTCTGGCCTTCAAGGGCACAAGATATATACATGGTGCACAGACATACACACAGGTAAAACACCCATACACATAAAATAAAATAATAATAATTTTTAAAGAAAGTCTGGTTATTTCTAACAGATCAGTCCTGATCTTTCAGAGCCCACACTTCTTAAATTGGCAAACACTGATTCTAGAAAATTTTTCCTTTAATTTTACAACTCAGTTTAAGGAAATAAAGCTGTGAATATTTGAACTTTGTCCTTATACAAAATGCTCAGGCTGAGCCAACACAGACCATGCTTGGATAAAAAGAAAATTAGAGCTCTCTCTCGGTCTAATGCAAGAGATTAATTGCACAAGCTGGCCTGTGGCCCTCTGCCTTTAGCAAGTCGTTGGTACATAAATAACGCCACATGTGAAAGGCCTGTAGAAAGGGAGGCAGAAGTTAAAACCATCTCAACCATAATTAACTCTAAATTAGCTGAGTGAACTTTTGGAATAACTGCCTGGTTATAAATCACACTAGTGTTCTGTCCTTTGGTTATAAAGGGAGCTTTCTAAGCCACCGATTAAGAAAACCAGGCCTACTGCAGACCCAAAGAGGACAGGGTAATTACACACATCAGTAGAACCTTAACCTACCAACATTCCAAAGGTCAGAAGTCCATTATTCCAAACACACTCTCTCATTGAAACCTGGTTGATCAAGAAGCCA